CTCAGCCTCCAGAGTAGCTGGGACTACAGGTGCCCACCACAATGCCTAGCTATTTTTAGAGATAGGGTCTCACTCTTGCTCGGGCTGGTCTCAAACTGGTGAGCTCAGGCGATCCACCCGCCTCGGCCTCCCAGAGTGCTAGGATTACAGGTGTGGGCCACTGCACCTGGCCCAGAAATCTTTTCTCTTGAGTGAAGCATCTGAAGTTTTTTTAAAAAGTTTTATTAATTCCCATACCATCTGATTCATCCAACTGTGTACAATTCAATGGTTTTTAGTATATCCACAGATAGGTACAACCTCCACCAATTTTAGAATTTCTGTCTCACAAAGAAACACAATACCCTGTAACTTTCACACCCCAGGATTCCTCTAATCTCTGGCTCACAGCCCTAAATTGATCTATTTTGTTTCTATAGCTTTCTCTATTCTGAATTTTCATGTAAATGTGATGAAACCATACAATGTGTAGATTTTTGTTACCAGCTTCTTTCATTTAGCACAATGGTTTCGAGGTACATCCAAGGTGTACCATATATCAGTACTTCATTCCTTTTAGGGTAGAATATTCCATTGATGGATATCCCACATTTTGTTTATACATTCACCTACTTATAGACATTTGTGTTATTTCCACCTTTCGGATATTCTGAATAATCTTGCTATAAACATTTGGGTGCAAGTTTTGTGTGGATATGTATTTTTATTCCTCTTGAATATGTATCTTGGAGTGAATTGCTGAGACTACAGTAACTGTTAAGTTTGACGAACTGCTAGACTTTTCCAAAGCTTCTGTACCATTTTACATCCCCTCCCAGCAGTGAACCAGAGTTCCAATTTCTCCACTTCCTCTGACAATACTTATCCACCTGACTTTAACTATTTTAATTGGTGTGCAGTGGTAGCTCATTATGGTTTTGACTTGGATGTCCTTGATCTGCATCTTTTTAAGGTGCTCATGGTCTATTTGCATATCTCCTTTAGAAAAATATTCAGATTCTTTGCTCATTTTTAATTGACTCGTC